AAAAGTGAAATAATAATAATTCACAAGTCGTCCTTGCATGTATATTCTTTCGAAGTCTCTGGCATTTGATAACCAACTACATCGTATTTTTCAATTTTACATTCAGTTATATCTTGTTGTCGAACCTATAAAAAAGATTGGTTCCGAGCTTAGAACTAATTTGAGAAATAAATACAATAATTAGCTTCGAGATTTTAATGAGGGATGAAATAATGAATACATAATAAATAATTGTCTGGAGCTTTCACTACTTTAGCATAGACTTAGATCAAAAGGCAAAACCAGAAAGTATTGCCATTTGCCAATTTCTTTGCATATACGTAAGTAAAAGATTAAATATACATTAAGTGTATATTTAAGTATATTTGGTGCTTACTTTTCGTTTCTAGGATAAATTAAAATTTACCTCCCTAAGATGAATTAAAATTTACCATTCTAGGATGAATTAAAATTTACCTTTCTGGGATGAATTAAAATTTGTCTTTCTAGAATGAATTAAAATTTATCTTTCTAGGATAGACTAGAATTTATCTTTCTAGGATGAACTAAAATTTACCTTCCTCGAATAAATCAAAATTTACCTTTTTAGGATGAACTAAAATTTACCATCCTAGAATGAATTAAAATTTACCTCTCTAGGACAAATATTCTCGGCGATAAGATTTTTATTCTCATCAACAATTATCATAGTTTTATATTCATGTCGTTTTCTATCGACTGGTGCAGATTGTTCAATTTCTTTTGCCCTATCAAAAAATCGTACTCGCGGTTGGACATGCTGCAAAAATAGATAATAGATAGATTTAAAGTTACTTTTTTATAAATCAAAGGAGAAATCATGGATTGTGAAATAGATTTTAATCTATTTTCAAAATTGTTTCAAAGAACTTACAGATAGTATAGGATAGCAAAAAAAAAAAGTAAAAAGAGAAAAAAGGAAAGGATAAGTGTGTATTATCATAAAATGCAGTGATAATAAATGATATTATATGATAAAAGATCATATCTATCAAAAAATAATCTCTATAATTGAAATATTGCAACAAATAGACGTAAATAATGATTGATTTTTTATTTATAACAATTAAAACATCTATCGTTTAAATTATTTAATTAATCTTTGAAATTCGAACTCATTTTAGAATATATCTGGAAAATTTAATGAATTTAATTATACACCTGAAGTGTATCATGTGATGAGACTTCTCGACTTGTATTTACTTCCAAAGTTTTCTTCTCATCTTCCGTAATTTCATCAACATTTTGCATTGTCTCCTATACAAATCCCTAATTAATTATCTTTATGCTAAAGTGTTTTTTCTTAAATTTAATGTAATGTTAGAAATGATGATCGTTAATGATTAATTTCATATAATTTTCAAATTATTTCTTTTTATAAAAATTATTAATTTTAATATATAATTTAAATTTAATTTTAATTATGCTATTAAATGTATGGATTTAGCAGGAAAATATATTACTGATTGAGAACATTGTGTTTTATCGGTATTTTCTTTTTTTCTTCATTATTAACCTTTACATTTTCCAAATTCTGAAAAATAACAAAATAATTCTTAGATCAATGAAAAATGATTTAAATATTAACATTTGATAATAAATGATAAGTTAATTCTTGATAAATTAATCAAAAATGTCACCTTATTTTTGTTTGTGACAAAAATTAAAACAATAAATTATTTTTACATTAATTGGAACATATAATGATTAACATTTTTGTTCGTATTTAAAAAAAAAAGGGAAGAACATTTGACTTAAATTAATTGTAAGGTTAGTTTTATAACATTAACATGTTTGTATGGTTTATCAGTGAAATATCTTAATCAAAGATTAAAATATTTGTTATCAATTTGTTGCGAAATTTGTTAATTTATTTATGATATGCAAAAATTTGCTCTTTTTTTGATAAATTTTTTTTTTAATCAAAAAATTTCATTCCACTTTCCCTTTTTTTCCTTCTCTTTCCTCCTCCTTGATTTTTCCTTCAATTATTAAATCACTGAATGATATTAATATTGTCATATAAGTAATCATTAATAAGTAATAAACCATTATTGCATAATTATTTTTATCAATGATAATACCAAAATTCTACCATCAATAATGATAATTAAATTAACTTAAATTTTTATCAAGATTTAAAAAAATATTCAACTGAATATTTGAATTTAAAGTTTAAAAAAATTTAGAAAGAAAAAAAATGTCTAATTAATATTTTAGAAAAAGTGATTACAAATTATTTTTACCTTCCAATCCTAAACTTCTTCTTTCTCTTTTTTAATGCCTACAAAGTATTATATTTTATTGAAAATTTCATTAAATTTCGTAATTTATAAATGATTAAAAAAGTATTCACAGATGGTTGCTTTTGAATTTGAACTTCATCAACAATTTTCATTTTTTTTTCTGATGGCTTTTTCAATGATTTGCTGATAGTAATTGTCGTCGATTGTTGTGTATCTTCAACTTCCATTTGTTTCATTTCCTTTTCTTTAGTACTAAATTTCTCTGATTCCATCTATAATTCTTTTCTTTTTCTTTTTACCTTTCAATTAATTATATTATTTCAATGTTTTCATATAAATTTTATGCATAATTGTAAAATTTATAAAGCTGATAATAATTAAAATAAAACGATTATTTATAATAATAATAACAATGATGACCAACAATAATAATAACAATAATAATAATAATAATAATAATTATTATTATTATTATTATTACTATCATTATTTTTATTATTATTATTTTTTTCACTTTCATCTTTATTTTCATTATTATTAGGATGAGGATATTTGCTTAGCATACATATAATGAATAATTGATGAATTGAAATTATAAATCAAATTTGTTCGTATCAGATTCAAATTTGTTCCAATAACGATGAGTTAATTTTCAACGATTAATTAATTTTTAACGATTAATTAAAATTTAACTAATCGTTATTGAAAATTCCAAAAATTTTTCATTTTTTAAATTATATTAAATCTTTTGAATGGAAAAAAATAAATAAAATTTCTTGCTTTTTCTGTAAATTTGTCGATTTTTGCTTTCTTTTTGCATGCACATAATGGTAAGAATAGTAATAAAGTTGCAATTATTGCTGATAATGTAACAATCATCATTTGAATGTTGAATCGAATATTAATTAAGAACAATTGAATTGTTCAACTGATGAAAAAACCTGCGTGAATTTCTCATCATTGATTGAAATTTTTTTTTTAAAGATTACACAGAATTTTATTTAAAAAATTAAAAAGAAAAAATTGAAAATTAAAACAATGCAGAGATATTTAAATTATTAGTAATAGTTTTTGAAAACAGGATTAAACAACGAATAGGCTTACATTTGAATTAAGTTGAAGTATTTTAATCACTGTTTGATTACTTTTTTTTGACCAACCAATTCATAAAGTTCAACAATAATTTGTTTCAATTTTAGCGAAGTTTTTTTTTCTGTTTTTCAAAATATTAAAAAAAAATGAAAATGCTTTAATATTGGAATTTTTCATTCGAAATAGAAATTTCAAAAAACAAAGAAAAAAAAATACCAGAAGTAAATCCAAATTACCTGTCTGTTTATTAACTTATCTTTTTAAGTGATCAATTTTTTAACTTATCAATAGGTTAACTGACTCAGACTAAATCCACCATTGAAAACTTTAAGCAATGGCTAACCATTAATTAACATAAAGCAAAATCATTTATTTATTGAATAAATAAGCCTCTTCTATATTTGCCTGAGGAAAAAAAAATAGGAATTAGAAATTACGAACCGACCACTTCATAGGTAAACATTAGCAAAAATATTAACCGCGCTGTGCTCTGATGAAATTTAAATAGTTTTAAGATTTTGAAAATGTTGCAAAATTATCCAAAAAAAAAGAATATAAGAAATGTCTTTTTTACGAAAATGTTACATAAGGCAAAGAAAAGAGCCAAAGATAGCTGAAATTAAGAAAAATAAGCAATAAAAAAGTAAATGGAAATGATAACAAGCCAACAAAATTCGCAGAAAAAATCGGAAAATGTCACTGACTTTTACAATATCACGTTTAATTTGACCATTTCTTGATTAAAGCATTTAATATTGCTAAGAACAAAACGACCTCTCAAATCTAAACTTATTTTGTAATAAATAGAATATCTCGTTATACCACTCAAGCAATTTACCCTTTTTCCCACTGCACAATCAAGATTCATTGCCCACACATTCTTCATGGTTTACAAAATTAACATGGATCAATTACAATTTTAGAACACTTTTTCCTAATATTTGTGATATAAGGCTTCATCTTACCATTATTACCATCAGGAATATCAAATCTTTGCTAATTATTATTGATAACGACGCAATCTTCTTCACTGTAGTGGTAATGATACCCGGTATAAATTTTTTTTTCTCAAGAGTATTCTGCTGTAGTGCTAATTGAAATATGATGAGATGAAACGCCAGATTAAATCTGTCGTCTTATTACCATTAGTATTTGAATGCCCTCATTCAATATATGCTCTTCATCATATTTTCCACATGATATAAATTTATCGGGCAAAAACTTTTACGTTCCACTCGTAACATAGCAAGCAACATGAAATATATACAAATGAACAAAAGCAAACATCTTCGAAAATATTTTTGAAGCTTCGACTATTCTCAACGTGCATCATAAACCATCACTGAAATAGAGACCTTTCATTTTTTCAAATTATCTTTTAATAGCGTCAGGGATTTACTAATACAGTATTCTCGAAAACTGAAAACTTCCGTAAGGTCCAATTTCAACAAATTTAAATTTCCAAATAAACACTCCATTATTTCTAGAAGCATTTGAGTTTTCAGTGCAATATTCTCAAGAGCATTAAGATGTTTTCCGATGTCAGGATTCTCAACGTAAATTTTATGCCTCTCGCAATATATTTCCGGTTCCATCCAACCAACCCTATCAAGAATCCTTAATGCATTTCGACTCATTTTTTGTTTTAGGAGAAGTAAATGATGCAAAAACTTATTTGTCCGATCAAATTCTCCATGAAGTGACAAACTTTGCTAAAAGCATTAATTATAAAGGAAAACTGAAAAATTCACCAGGGAGAACAAAAACTGAATTGACTTAGTTCGGGGAGGTCTGCATCAGAATGTTGAATAAATTACGATAGTTTCATATAAGGATTGAGGAAATGTCTCTATTCAACGTCGTATCTTTAACGAAGTAAGCAACAATTGTCTCTAACACCTTCCGAAAGAACTACGGTCACAGGAATTAAACCTTTGTGCGATAGAGAAATCGAGAAAATAAATTTCACAAAAAAAAAAATACAACCAGAAAAGGAGTAAGAGGACAGGGTAGAATTTTTTAGATAAAACATTTTTTAGATAAAACTTCACTGCAGAGCAAATTCCTGTAACTTACACTTTCGGCAACGCTTTTTATACAATATCCTATAGCCACATTCTCGACATCTGATCGCATCCTTTGGACGAATTTCATTTTCGCTATGACATTCTAAAAGAAAAAATTTTTTAAAATCAGAGAAGAAACTGAAGTCACTCCTTCAACCGTCTCAAGAAAAACAAAAGCCCAAAAAACAAGAAATAATATACTCAAATCACGATGAAATAAACGAGAAAGCACAAAGAATCATGCTAACTTAATCTATCATCACGTGATCTTCAAATACCTTCCACTAACCTCCACATATATAGATCATACTGTTAGTCTTTGCCGATGCACCACCACTTGGTATTGGAGTAGAACTGCCTTCCATTATCCAATTGTTTTCAGAAAACAAAATAGTAAATGAACAATATGCAGAAATTCAAAAGGATAAGCGGAGAAAGCAAAATAAATCGTTAGTTCGAAACACAAAAGAAAAATCTGAAATAACAATGTGACCTAAATTTAAGACAATAAATAGTAAAGAAAGTAAAGTACATTTAAAATGATAAATAATTGATTACCAATTACTTCGAACGTTCAATCTTACAAACAGAAATGTGAAATAGTTCATTCAAAATACTTTCTTTCCGAAAATTCATCTAAACGAAACTTTAAATTTCTAAAAAGAAAGAGAAAAGTCTGCAAACTATACCATACGATATTAAACAACCACTGACTAAAACAAACAACCAAGTTCAGCGTACCAAATAAGTGTCGCATATTTCATAATATGCCACAAACACTAACTTTAACGCGGCAACTCTGTGAAATCTTGCGTCTTTGATGAGTCAGTACTATTCGAAAATATTTGACAACGATACATTTAAGTGTTGCACAATCGTAGCAGTTGTAATGGTAGAATTATTTGAATAGACACAAAATATATTTATACCAAATTAAGGATAAAATTTGAATAATTTTATAATGAAGGCACGGGATAAACACATAAATGTTAATAGTATATTTGCATGAAAAATTAAAAATTTTTTGCTTAATTTGATAATTTGTAAAAATTTAAATCAATCCTTTCTTTACTTTTCTAAACAAAAAGTATTTTTGTTTAGAAAAAATTATGGTACGAAGTTATTTATTTCATTTATTTCTTTTTTATAAAAGCATTGAATTTATTTCCATCCTTTATTTATCATCTTAAATATAGCAAATAATTGAAATATTCAGTTAAAAAAAAAAAACAAAAAGTTCTTTTTGGAATAATATTGTTAATTAGGAAATCAAAATGAATTAAATGTGAAAAATATTTTGAAATTTTGATAATTACAAAAACAAAGTAAAGGAATAAAAGAAGTGACAGAAGAGGGAAAAAAAGAAGAACACTTAAGGCCTGAAAGTCACATCTGAAATCATTTGTAATCTTCTGTTATCCCAATTAGATGTATCAACAACTGGATCATTTACCCATAATTCTTGCCCATCTTCTACCTAAAAATTTATTAACTCTTATTAAATTAATTAAAACTTTAAATTAATTAATAAAATTAAGATTATAACATCAAATAGCTGAAATATGTTGTAGCATTTTTATTTTTATTTTTTCATACTTTTAAGAATACCTTTATCTTTTATAATATTATGTAGAATATTAGGAAAAAACAAATGCTTTGTTATTATTTAAGAATAATTAAAATAATAGAGCATAATTATTGGAAATAATATGGAAAAGAAAAAGAAGAGAAACTAAATATATCGGGCGGTATTCATCACTTTTGCGCCTTAATAACTACTACTACTACTACTACTGGAGATGAAACAACAAAAATAAGCATATTCTATTACTGCTTATTAAGATTAATCCTCAAATATCAAACTTTAAAAAAACCTAAAATTGCAGTAATAAAACAAAAAAAAAAACAAATTACTAAAACAACAAAAAGAAAAAAAAATGCATTTATGGTTAAAACAGAAGTCTGTAAATGTACAATTGCGCTATTTAACCAGTTAATAAAAGCATATTTGCGCATTTGTTAGCTTATCAAAAATAGGGTAATTGTATTGTTTCAAAATTAAAACAAAATGGGTTTAACAACAATTTTTGATTAATAATAATTAAATTTTCAATAAACTTTCAATTAATCCTTTTTTAATCAATTAAATTTTTTATCTCTGGCTAAAAAACGATTAAATTTTATTAATTATGCGATGATAAAAATGAAGTATTGAAAACCTTTCGATCAATAGTCCATTTCAGTATCGATTCCATATCACCATAATCACCTGCACATGTCACAACCACCGTTTCCTCACCAATTCTATGTTGAAAATTTTAAATAAAATTATCAAAATTTGAAGTAAAATGAAATAAACTTTGCAAAATTTCGTAATAACATTAACAATAATGTTTGCCATTAATATAAAACTAATGATGACATTGATTAATTATTAGCACCTAATTAAAAGATTTAAAAGTGTATCTTTAAGCGTCATAAATTTTGATTATATTCAAGCTTGATTATGATAATATCCAGTTTTCTTTTTTTTTTGTCTCTTCCTGTTACACTTCTTTTTTTGTTTTTTCAATCATTTGATTACAAAGCAACTCTATTGTCCCCTAATTCCTGTACAATTGATCGAAACAGTAAAAATAACATCCAGTTACGTCAATAAAGATTGTTTTTGTATGGTAAAATAAACACGTTGAAAATGAGATTGATGAGATACAGTAAACGCACATACAGTATAACTTCAATAAAAAGAGTTTAAAATTAACGATAAGAGAGAGAGAGAGAGGAATGCATACCTGCTATGTGCACTACATCTGACTTGCTTATCTGATATTTTTAGTTTCATTTCAAGTACCAAAGTAATCTTTGGCTCGGAACTAAATAATTAATAATAATTAAATAATAAATTAATTAAAAACAAAAATAATTAATAATAATAATTAATGATAATAATAATTAATAATAGTTAGTTAGTTAATAATAATAATAATAAT